GTTTGTAAGGTGCAGTAATATCTCCTTTAGCCGGAATCCCTCAAACCCGGAACTCTCCGAGAGCCAGAAATGACATTTTCTCGGAAATTCGTTGCCAAAGCTGGAATTTTGAGAACGCTTTTCCGAGGCGGTCCCTTTGTTTTCATGCATCTGAACAGGAACTGGAGAAAAACTTTCTCAGGTTTCTTACAGCATTTTTGCATCCCTATTCAACATGAGCAAGAGAGCAAGTGATGGTAGTGTTGTTTCAAAAGCTAATAGAAAGTGTATAAGCTTAGCCGAGGAACTAGATGTGTTAAAACGATACGAAAAAGGCGAGAGATCTATGGATATTATATGGAGCAGGCAATGAACATATTTTCTGAAGTGGATCCATTAACAGAACAAGACATTAAAATTTAAATAAATGCAAATGACCTCTGCATAAAGATGTATAATGAAAAAAGAAAGCAGCTGTGCAAGGTTCTTTTGACAGCTTTATTATTCGAAGGCCTAAACCATCACCTTCAGCTACACCATCAAATTCAGCATCATAAGCAGCTTCAACATCAACTTCAGGTTCAGTAACGGTCTCAGCAACATCTTTATGAAAAGCTACAGCTTCAGCCAGAGTTGAACCTGATGACTTCGTCATCTGAGAAAAACTCGCACAATATTCATTGGCTGTCCTTATGTTTTAGACTTTACCACCATTGGTGAGTAGAATTTTTGTTTTACATTCGTAAATATGTCCTCCAATATTGCAGTGTAAGGTGAATCATCATGTCGCGAATCATTAATTACCATTCAAATAAAGCAATAATAATGAGATGTTCCCAAGTGTGGCCTAGTTTTAGGCTTAAAGTTTTTATCTTATAAAATGTCGCTGACTAGACTTAACAGAATATAACTTGCATTGCTGGAATCTTTGTAAGATAGTGATTAATTTGAATATGAACATCATATAGTTTGCACAAGAGATAAAAAGTTTAGTCCTTCAGTGTAGTACATTTGAGTACAAAGTATGAACAGTAATATGTTGCTCAAAATTAAATTTTTTCAGATTTAATTTACATTTAACATTTGTTTAATTTAAGTTTCTAGCAGTCCATTTCGCATTAGAGACATGGGAGGTGTATAATTAGTGGGTCAGAGGTGTATTGTTGAATTATTATTACCTGACCTCAGTTGGTCCGGCAAAACGGATAATCCGACAAGGCTTCGGAACCAAGGGTGCTGGAAAATCGGTGGTGTACCAGTATTGCAATGATTTTTCAACAACTTTTATAGTTTCATTACAAGTAGCAATGCCCCGCAGCAGTGTATTATACCTGCGAAAGTGGTGAGTCGGTGTGCGAATTTGAATGATGGGCACATTTGGAACCAACCACAAAAGTGATGAATCACAAATCTAGAATCCTCGAAAGTGGTGAGCCTACTGTATACAGTAATACCCTTGTTAGTGCTCAGGACACATTCCTGGATAATAGAGAACTATCCAAAAGAGCACTCTAAGGGGTCATTATATCAATGCATACAGTATATGGATTTGAGTTCCTGATGATGTCACTTTTTACCTACGATATACACAGTACTGTTAGTGAAGGGTACAGGTTTTAATAAACACAGATTATTACAGTAACTTATCTTTACAAATTAATGAATAACAAATAACCAATACTGTATCAAGAATGACAGTCGTTTGATGACTAGTAGAGATGCTTGTAGTAGAATGAGTGTGAGACTCTATGTATCAGTGAGACGCAGTGGGAGGGAGGGAGTGGATATCATATGGCTTTGCTCTGGTTGAAGCTAATCCATCTCTGCATCACTGATATTATGATTTAGGTGGTGATAATAGAGGTAGTGGTGATGATGGGGGTATGGTAAGGGAGACTGTGGTAAGAAGGGAGGAGGTGATGCATCTATCGGTTTCTTTGGTAACACTGTGCCTGCAGCACTGCCAGATGCTATTAAACAGCTGATATCTTCCCAAACTATTGAGTGTAAATACAATATAAATGAGCAACGTTGTATCCCTTCAACATTTCTTTACATAACATTTTCAAATTTGGAGTGAGAAAGCAGAAAGGTGGGGGTGATTAGAGAGGTAGGGTGGAAGGAAGTGATAACACGCACTGGGTGTGTTACCAAGTGCTCCGCAGCAACTGATCTTCAACCAGCCACCATGCACTTGTGCTTCAGTTAACCACACACAATTTTATGTCATACAATAAGACCTTCACCTAATATACAGGTATACCTTATTTATTATTAAAATATACACTGTACAGTACTGTCTTTAATGGGGATACTGTACAATGGTCTAAGTATACTTGATATAAGCCTAAGGAGAGCTAATAGGTACAGGAGATGACACCATGTATAAACATGCTGGAGAGGGGTGTGGGTGGGACTGGCTTTTGCCTTGGGCACAAGTTTGTTTTTATTTATTCATTGTTACACAGTATTGTATTCTTATATAATCAGCCAATTATGGTGTGTTTCATCATAAATAATAACATGCGATATTAAATAAAAAAAAACGATATATAATTTGACTTCAAAATTAAATGACAAGCTGAATCAGAAGGTAATCCCATTCCTCTCTCACAAAGGAGGGGGCTGGGAGGAGGTAGGACTGGCTGTTGCTTCGTTCACCTGTCTTTATTTCATTTTATTTATTCATTACAGTACTGATACATTACAAAAGTATGTGTGCCAGAGCAACAAAAAAATCCACTTCACTGATAACATGCAGTGGAAAATGGAAGACGAGGAGAGTGAGTTTGAGGCAGTAGAAGGAAGTATTGGTGGTATGGCAGAACCAGAGCAGATAAAGAGAGGAATGACTTAGTGTCAGGTGAGGCAAGTTCTCAGCAAGGTTGAAGAACTCAAGGATGCTTTAATGATTGCTGAGCCCAGCCAGCAATGCAGTGATGAACTTAGTGCACAGTTAGACAGTTAGGTGGAACTTTACAGGCAACATTACCAGGAGTTTATTAAACGCTGCCACCTCAATGAAGATCAAGGAGAATTCATTGACAATGATCCTGCCATTCTGGAGATTGGTAATGAAGCAGAAGTCACGTTACAAGTCTCTGCAGCCGATTTTGAAGAATATGAATTCGACTAGCCTTCACCCCCTGCCTTGGACCCCCATCGTCTCTCAGACCTTCCCACACCACTATTTGGTGGAGACCATGGAGTATTGCAGAATTACCTTCCTGAACTTTCTTAAAATATTTATTTAATAATGTAGATGCAGTTTATGTGACATTATATGTAATTTTTGGAAGGTTAAGTTGGTTACCCAAAGCGGTTCAAGAGTAAACGTCTGGCAAGTCCAGTTCAATATAGTGATTTTAACACGTGTTAAAGGGAAATGCATCCACGGTTTTCTGACGTGTGGACAAGTACCAGTACGCTATACCCACACAAAATGAGACCCCGCCGTATTACCATTTGGCTGCTGGATAACAAATTGTGTCAATCGTGACACTACAGGGAGACGGTTCAGAACAGCTGAGACCCAACACTCTCCCCTCCGTCACTCAAAAATAGTTTATTCCTTTTTGTTTCTGACCTTATCATAAATATTTATTTTGTTTATATTTTGCACATTCTGCATGTAAGATTGTGTGTGCATGTAACATTGTAAAAAAAAATTATGAAAATCACATATATCTACCTGAAATTACGAGCTTAAAAATAACCATAACATAACTGATAGCTTGCTCTGGAGTGGTATGAAGAGGGCTGGGGATTATCACAGATGTAAAGTAACGTCCTACACGGTAAGTCAAAAGGCTGAAGCAAACTCACAACTCCCTGTACCTCCCTTCCCAGCATTCATAAACCATACTACCTATTTTTTCTTATGTTATTTAATAACTGTCTTACTTTAAGCAACATTTGTATACAATCTAAATGAAAATATGCAGCTAAAACCATTAAGGAAAACCTAAATTAAAGTTTAACACAAACACCATTTGCATGGATGCTAGCTGCTTAGCCATCAACATTCCATGGCAACACAGCCCAGCTTGAGTGCTGCCTCTGCCAAGCCTGTAGCTGCTGGGTAGCTATCATTTACCATAAATGACTCATGGAAGCACATGAATTTTAACCCCTCAAAAATACTATGCATAAATAGTTTGACCTACCTTTTGCATAAAAATTTGATACTAAAATCTTGAAATGTACTCGAATATATACGGTAGATAAGGTGGGTCACTTTTTTCTTATTTTGAAGTTAATTTTATTCTGGGATACATACATCAGCTCATGACATATGGTCTTCTCCATGCTGTTTTTATCTGGTTTAAAATACTGTATTACAGGTTACTCCCTAAGGACCCGCAGGTCATAAATGAAGGAATGAATATAAAATCCCATTTTCTTACCAGGGGAAAAGCAAGTGACCAGCAATCACTACCTTTTCCCACCATGATGCTGTACAACTGGTAGCAACAGACAGGGTTGGAATGTAAGACTGAAAAATGAGTATTAGCTACTCGATGAATTTGAACTCTTCATTGGACCTTGAGTCAAATACTGGTTCAAATAGGATCTATTCGACCCTGAATACTACACAAAAAAAAGACTCGTTTTAGCAAGCCTTTATCTTGGCACTTATCCAGTTTAGATAGTGTGCCTCTCATTAAATTACAAGCCCTCTCTGAAGACCACAGTGACCGAGTTTTTACAGGTCACTTGCCTTTTCTCAGTCATAAGTTGGATATCATAATTCAATCCTTCATTTACATTTATGCATAAGTATGTGTGTGTGTGTGTGTGTGTGTGTGTGTGTGTGTGTATATATATATATATATATATATATATATATATATATATATATATATATATATATATATATATATATATATATATATATATATATATATATATATATATATATATATATATATATATATATATATATATATATATATATATATATATATATATATATATATATATATATATATATATATATACTGTATATATATATACCCCATATATTCTATGAAGGAAAGCACCATTGAGCTAACCATGATATGCTGCATTATATAGAGTAATAGCAATATGCTTTACAAAAAATTATATGAAATTGCATATCAGTAATAAATTAATTGGCAACACACAGATGCAACAAATTGTTTTATAACATTATTGGATCTACTGACACTATGAACAAAAACTTAACTTACTTCATATTTGGCACACGAAAAAGAATTCAGCTTTTGGCCACTGATTATGTGCTTAAACTAAATTTCTATATATTCAGGAATAATTGTAGAAGCACACAAAAATATACAGCACTCTTGTCATCTTCCAAAGTTGGTGAGAGACACTATGGTAATAATAAAGAAATTACAGGATTTGGCAAAATTATATAAATGTGTAACATTTTGTAAAAGTCAACATAATACACCAACTATAACTTACCTAAAACTAGGTAACAACTAGTGCTTGTAACAACATGATATGATTATTCTTAAATGGTTGATATGGCCACATGTAGGTTTATCCTGTTGAAGATATGCAGGATGATATCTATACAGTATATGGACATGGCACAAATTCTATAAGCTTAATCACCGCACACTCCACAGCTGTCCAGATACCAGACATTTGTATCGAGATGGTAATTCATTGCTCAAGAAAATAGTTACCTTAAAACTGCAAAACAGACAAAGCAGATAAACCCACATCTCTTCACGATATTCTGGACTGCAAAAGAGCATTTACCATAAGTATCAACTATATTTTCTCTTCTCCAATATTATTTATTAAATAAAAAATGCTCACTTTAGTATACTGGTACAAAAAATATATGGTGAAACAATTTACTGCTTACATGAATAATATTTAGATCATAGTGAGTGTGACAGACATAGAATTTCATAAATAAGGAACACAATATGTGAAGAGGCATTCCTTTAGCACATAACACAGTGATTCAAATTATTGTGCTCTTGATGTTATTGTCCAGGAAGTGTACAACCCAGAAGATCTTGCCTATCACTTATCATGAGCACTAGTTTACTAGAACTCCCGGCTATTGCAACATGCACGAAATTAGCTTAATCACTTCAACACATCTGCTGTGGATAATATTCCAATAAAAAAAGCACATTCATATTATGACCACTAAACAGTCCCACATGGACACAGTCATTATCTTTAGTTTTGAGCACAAACACTGATATGGTTTCACAATTTATAAAACATTTACCTATATGAGGATATCTATAGTTCACAAAAATTTTTGAAAAAATTTCCTGATGTAAGTGATATGTTGCCAAGTGGCAGAAAAACAGAAAGAATCAACAAATGCTGATATTCTTAATTCAAATGTATTCATTCATGTAACTTCAGAAAGAGTTGAATAACTATGTACAGGGTGTTTTGGAAATATGTTTCATAATTCTGGGGGTGTATTCCTGAGACATACATAAGGATAAATGACTCCATGACAATAGTGTCAAAACCCCATAGTGTCAAAGTTATACCATTTGACAGTTGGGGTTGGAATGTGATAAAATCTACAAAGTATAAAGGAAACATCAAATGTTGCTACTGTAGTACAATTTATTTACAGTCATATGTAATCTGATATGGATTTTAAAGTAAATGTTCAAAGTTCTGTCCCTCTTTCTGAATGTTGCCACTTACTTGAAATAGGGCTTATGTTTTATGTCCATAGACTTGTTGCAGTCCTCTCATACCAAATTTTATGTATAACTCCAAAACTAAGGAGTACTGACACTATGGTCATGGAGTCATTCATCCTTTTGTCTGTCAAAATACCCCTGAATTATAAAAATTATTTCCAAAACACCATACAGATATATATATATATATATATATATATATATATATATATATATATATATATATATATATATATATATATATATATATATATATATATATATATATATATATATATATATATATATATATAATTGAGGAGCACTGAAGATGATCTCTACTCTTACCTCTCAGGTGAGATACATATCACAAGTAGGTCCTTGGTTATCACTCATCAAGGTAATTACAACTAATTTTCAGTGGAAATTGAGCTTTACTGAAGCCCTTGCACATGAAAGCTTGTAATCACACAGAAACTGTGGCAGCTGATGCAGCAGTTTTAGCTCGAGTGTTCATCTGGCTCCTTTTTGTGACTGTTGGTGCTGACACATTGTTGTTGTCTACTTTTTCTTTAGTGTCCTCTGGATCAAAACTCTCAGTGAGCTTTTCATTTGTTTCTAAGCTGATATCACTCTCTGGAGTGTGTGAACGACTCTTACCTGAAATTAAGAGAGCTTGCTAAAATTATTGTACATTTGTTAAATTTATGCAACATAAGACAGCTTATTTAAAAATTAAGAATTCCTTAAAGATGCTAACCATTTTGTGTCAGGTACCTTTCATGAAGACATGCTACAGGTTAACAACCCTTCATCTGAAATTCCAAAAACCGAAAAGCTCTGAAAACCGAATTTTTTTTTTTCCTTTTTTTTTTTGTATTAGCCCACTAGGGCACAGGTCACTGACCCACATTGAGGCCTGGGGGGTGAAAATGTAATAGTAATAGTAATTATAATGATAATAATAATAATAATAATAATAATAATAATAATAATAATACAGGTAATAATAATAATGATAATAATAATACAGTAATAATAATAATTATTCATAGTCAATAAATTTTTTAATAAAAAATAATAATAATAATAATAAAGAAATACAAGAATGAAAAAAAGATCAAAAGTGAGAAACACGACCTGGACCTATGAATTATTATTATTGTTATTATTATTATTATTATTATTATTATAATTATTATTATATCTTAGCCCCCAGGCCCCAATGTGGGTTTGTGACCTGTGGCCGGGTGGGCTGATCCCTGTAAAAAAAAAAAAAATAAACTAACTAACCATTCTGAAATCCGAAAAATTCCGAAAACCGAAATGCATCTGGTCCCAAGGATTTCGGATAAGGGATTGTCAACCTGTACTGTATATTTCAGACATGATGCCCTTATGTAGTCTTCTATGTTTACTTCACCAATAAATCATTTAATTAAATCTATTCATTTTCATATACAGTATAGTCTTCATTTACGCAGTCCATTGAACCTGTGGAGGTCCACGTAAAACGAGAAACGCGTAAACGAAATAACAGAATATATGGGATTAATTGAAATAGAGACTGGGCCGACCCCCAAACTACACTTTTTCCGACACAATACGTACGTTGTAGTAAAAATAACATCTTAATTTTATGATGGTATGCACACACAATTAATATTTAAGAGAAATATCAATAATATTAGGTTTTTTAACACTTATGTTAGAAGAAAAGATGGCTGGGCACACGGCGATGGGGGGTTGGTTCCAAGGCAGAGGGCAGATTATTGGCCCTCACCTGTATCACTTGTATCAATTGTATCACTATCCACCACAGAGGCTTGCAGGGCCTCTTTGTCAAACCCCTCAAAGTCCATATAAGTCCATATCCTCACTATCACTGACTTGGGCCGGCTGTGGTGGGTGGCGGGTGAAGAACTCGGTAATGTTTTGTTGACTGGGCGACCTTGTGAGCACCCTGCCCGTGCCGCTTCCCACGTAAATGATGGAATGAACCGTGTAAATAAAAACTGTCGGTCTGGCAAGGTGCCACGTAAATGACCAAACGCGTAAACCAAATCCGCGTAAATCGAGACTATACTGTAATGCTGCCAAAATGATTTTGCACTTTTCTTTTCCAAGGTAAACTTAGTCTATGTATGAGCTCAATTATTTGTGCTAGATCTAATTATCCTAGCACTCATTTCATAAATTTATTATTTTCTAATGATGAATTCTGAAAATCTGAATACCAATTACAGTATAACAAATGTCTAATTAATATAAATACAAAAATATTGCATATCACGTACTGTACTGTGTCCATCTTTTCCTTCATGTCTATGCAACTTCAATTCATTCAATTAAATTTCATTAATTAAAAAAAAATAAAGTTTAAAGAATGAAATGTAGTTATGAACTACAGTTAGTGAATGGTGGGATTCTGGTATAGCACAATCAATAACATGGCATCTACATAAAGGGTACTCATTACCTGGGAAGTCCATTTATGTAGAAAAGTCCTCGTTAGAAGAGTTACCCTTCCTTCCACCCATTAGAGTTAATAAGCCAAATGGTGCCTTTGTTTTATTTTGATCTGGCTGGCACCATTCAAACTGGTGTGCAAATTGCCTCAAACCATACCTTTTGAACTACAGGCATACCCCAATAACTGACAAATATAGGGACAGTGAAAAGTCCTTGGTTAGTGAATCAACGGTTATCGAAGCAATTAATCCCATAAGAATATAACAAATTCAGGGGGTTAGGGACTGGCCACCTCCAAAACTCCCATCTACCCTTGATATATCTCTGTAGTGCACACTGTCAAGCAAGAAAATAAAGCAGACATATAAAGCAAGCATAATAAGCCTTAAATAAGTAATGTTGAGGATGGTAGAGACAGTCTAGGGTGGCAAGTTCAAGTCTCTACCAATCTTCGCTGGTCCATCACCACTCTTATTACATCTTATCACATCACATCAAGCTGCTCCTAAGAGGGGCAGCACAATAAGAACTATCACTGGGGTGTTTAGGCATGATTGTATAACACAGGAAGTCATAAATAACAAAGCAACATGAAGTTGGAGATACAAGGTAAATGTAAACAAGTGCAGAGAGGTGGGAATTAGTCAGAGGCAGTGCGCAGAGCCCTCTTGTGGCAAGAATTCACATCATGCCACCACCCACCAAATTCAAAACAGCTCTGCCACTCCTCCCATGATAGTCCGATCTCTGGGGTATCAACGAAACTTGTGGGGTATTTCCCCTATATGTCATCGATGATTATGCGAATTGGCAGTTAATGGGACGTTGGTTTTCGAGGTACAGTCGTGTCACATCTTACAAGCATTTAACTTATGCACATTCAACTTTACATGCTTGACAAAAAAAAAAAGGGAATTTGGTGCTCAAAAAGAACTTTCTAAAGAAATGTTAATTTTAAGGAAATCAGGAGTTGGGAATAATATAAGACTAATTTACATATATTTTATTTTCTACTCAAAATATATGGAATAAAATAATGAAAACAATCAAAAGAAAATATATTAATTCTGGCCAAGTTCTTCCTGTTTCTAAGCCTATACTATGCTTACAATTATGACATATTCAGATACTAAACAGAACATAGACAGGTTCACTGCCTGTAATTCACTGAGTCAATATGGGACTAAGGAGCAGTTCTAAAGTATCATATCGCTTATACCTGTATTAATGATCATTCATTCTATGTAGTGATTCATCATTTAATCAATGGATTCTGTATAATTATACATGGTTAGTTAATTATTGTAAATTTTAAGGACTTTTATTCCTACAAGATACAAAGAATAGAGATAATTTTTATAACTTATAGGAAGATGTAGTACAGTACTGTAACTGAATGCTCATTGTGCTGCATACGCGAACTCACTTTCTTAGTCTCTTAGTCTCGAAGCAGGTTTACAGCATTTCAGTCTGATTCCTGTAGTTGTTCGACTTTTGTATTAATATGTGGGTAATGTGACTAAATGTCAGGTGGAGGTCGGGTGGGGGAATAGTGGTCTCATATTACTGACCTGATGGAATGTCAGATCACCCTTTCTTGGGTGGGGCATAGTGGATCTCATGACCTGAAGATGTCTTGAATAAGCACGAAACCTAAAGTATTTTAGAGAGATTGTGATAAGTATAAGTATAATTGAGCAAAGTTGTATCCCTTCAATACTACATTACATAACATTTTAAAATATGGAGTGAGAAAGCTGAAAGGTGTGGGTGATTAGAGAGATGGAGTGGAAAGAAGTGGTAACATGCACCAGTGTTGCCAAGTGATAAGCTCCTCAACAGCTGATCTTTTAATTCCCCTCCATGCAGTCACAAAACAAGACCCTCATTGGATGCTGGTTGTCTTAATTCCTCTCTGCGTGCGTGTGTGTGTGTGTATGTGTGTGCATGCTTGTGTGCATGCGTGTACTGTGTGTGTGTGTGTGTGTGTGTGTGCTGAACATTCAAAGAAATATTGCTGAGCTTGCCAAACACATTGTAGGATTTGAAGAAGTTGATGAATATGAAGAGAATGTTCAGGAGTCAGGTGGTGAGGTGACATGCCAAGACACTTCAGCACACACATTAACAGCACTACTAAACCATTGTCTTATAACACTTTACTTTATAATTTCTTTAAAATTAATTGATACATGATGGCTCAACAGGGCTACTTTTGCACTTAGACAACTGATCTATAAATAAACCAGGGTATACGGAGATGCATTATACACTAGTGATAACACGAAGCTTCGCAACTGCAACAACAACTACTGAGCAACTGCATAAAATTTCACAACCTGTACTCAAATGTACTAAGTTAATTACTAAAATTTTTATGTCTAGTGCAAACTATGGGATATTTATACTAAAATTAATCATTATCTTGCAAGAATTACAGCAATGCAAGTTATATTCTGCTAAATGAAGTCAGTGACATTTTAAAAGCGAAAAACTTAAACTCCCTGCCTTTTATAATTATTCTTGAGTACACTCTGGGTTAATCTCCCCTCCTGGCTGTCAACACCCGTTCCTCTCTATCCTCCTAGCCAGCAGGGGGCAGATGGCAGTGATAATACAGGTAATTAATGGGATGAATTTTGTTTTAGGCTTAAAGTTTTCTCTTGTAAAATGTCACAGATTTTACTTAAGAGAATATAACTTGCATTGTTGGAATCCTTGCAAGTTAGCGATTAATTTGAGTATAGACATCTCATAGCTTGCACAAGAGATAAAAATATTAGTCTTTTAATACAGTACATTGAGTACAGTAATATGCGGCTCCGTATAGAATGTTACGGAGTATTTCAAATAAATTTTTTGTTTAGTTCTTTACATGAGACATGGGGATAGAAGCTGTTATAATTTGAGCTTATTAATACAGTACCAGTAACCTTCATATACAGTAATTTACTTACTTTTATCTTATTATTCGGCTCATCATTTAAGGATATCATATTAGAAACGTCTCATAGAGAATTTATTCAGGATCATTATAGTATCAAATTCATTTCTCTGTCACAAATAGAAGTTTATAATGAATGCTTTGAGGTACAGAGGGAGAGGGGGAGAAGGGTTAATTGACAGGAAAATATGACCACCCTCCCAAAGGGTCGCCTCACTGATTCCTTGTCTACTGTACTGTCTCTTTCATGATACAGTACAATATTGTTAAGTCTGTCTTTCATTAATTAGTAAAAATAAGTTACTGTAGAAATCTGTGCTTATTAACTCTTAGGCCCCGGGTGACGTTCCAGAACGTCCGACCGGAGTGCCCCGGTTGACGTTCCAGAACATGCGCCTTTTCCCGCCACTGTTTAAATGCCCAGCAAGGGTTATCAGGTTCCCTTGTGACTATTTGCCTGTTACACCACACCTCGGCCACAGGGAAGTTTCCTGAACGTAATTACCTTCTTTTGTTTGTTTCATTTTCATTGTTTGTCCATTTTATCATGTTGTATCAAAGTAATATTGCTAAAAGTAGTGTAGTATTACTGAAAAATAATGCTATGATTATGTTATAAATGTATTTATTTGTGGAATTATTATTTTGATAATTATTTGTATGACCTACGTGCTCTCCCAAACATAAAGCCTGATGACTGACTATGTGTGTGTGTGTCACTGAGAACTTCTTATGAAGAGGAATGTAAATAAATTAAATTCTAAATGAACTATTTATAGGAAATAAGAATTATGATCAGTAAATATATGCATTATTGGCCAACTCGGACACAAAAGCAAGTGGGAAAATTACCCCTAAGTGCGTAGTGACAGTAAGCGCTCGGCGTAAAAAAAAATTTCCCCTTATTTGTCTCATCACTGAGGCGCCACGGAAGAATATAGAGGTTAAAAATTATTTTCGGGAAAATTAAATTTTTCTCGTTTTACCCTATGTTTGGGGTAAGGCCGGCGGCACCCTACCCCGGGGAGTACGGGTTAATACCTGTACTCTTCATATACAATACAGTACAGTAATACCCTGATTTACGCGGTTCCCGTTTACGCGTTTCCACATTTACACGGTACCCCGCCAGAACCGGAATTCCCACTTTACGCGGTGCATCTACTCATATACGAGGGAAGCGGCGCGGGCAGGGTGCGCACAAGGTCGCCCAGTCATCAAAACATTACCGAGTTCTTCACCCGCCAACCACCGCAGCCGGCCCAAGTCAGTGATAGTGAGGATATGGACTTATATAGACTTTGAGGGGTTTGACAAAGCGGCCCTGCAAGCCTCTGTGGTGGATAGTGATACAATTGATACAAGTGATACAGGTGAGGGCCAATAATCTGCCCTCTGCCTCGGAGCCATCCCCCCATCCCCGTGTGCCCAGCCATCTTTTCTACTAATGTAAGTGTTAAAAAGCCTAATATTATTTACAGTTTTACCCCGCTTAATGCGCTTTCACTTAACGCGTTTTCGCATATACGCGGTGCCTTGCCAAAGCTGAACTTTCACTTAACGCGGCATTTTTCATCATATACGCGGTGAGTGTCCGGCTCGGATGCTATTTTTAGATTTTGACCACACGCCACGCGCCACCCGCCCGCCCGCCCGCCTGCCTGCCTCCTCCTCCCTCCGCTTGGGCAAGCGGCGCGGTAAGGTTGCGCAGTGTGTGTCTTTGTTGTGTTATCACTGACGTCATATGACGTCTCGGACTGTGATTGGCCATGCAGCCCTACCCCCCTCTGCTGCTAGCTGTAATTGGCTTAAAGTATTATGACGTGACTACCCCGGGGAGGGAGGGAGGGAGGAGAGACGACGCTTGACCTAGCCGCGGCAGTTTCATCCCTCAAGGCCACGCCGAGTTCTTCGCCCGCAACCCACCACAGCCAGCCCAAGCCAGTGATAGTGATAGTGAAGTTGATTTTGAGGGATTTGTCAGGGAAGCCATGACAACTGTAAGTGACAGTGATATTGATTCACCTAGTAATGGTGATTCACCTAGTAATGGTGATTCACCTGAGGGGCAGTAATCTGCCCTCTGCCTCGGAACCAGCCTCCATCCCCGTATGCCGACCCATCTCTTCTACTACCGTGAGTGTTCCTCAAAAATTTTCGTTTTTTAACCTATTCTTTATTTTTCCTATGTTAACCTTTATCTTTCCTAACCTAACCTCTTCTATATTACTTGTTTTTCATGCCACCATAAAGTTAAGATAGAATTTTTACTACAACATAGTTATTTGTCGTCAAAAAGTGGAGTTTGGGGGTCGGGCTGGGTTCTATTGGAATTAATCCCATATGTTCTGTTATTCACTTAACGCGGTTTTCACTTAACGCGGGACCCTCTGGGTTCAATTGACCGCGTTAAGTGGGGTACAACTGTATATTTGTCTTAATTACTAATTGTGTGTGTGTGCATACCATCATAAAATTAAGATGTTATTTTTACTACAACGTTGGTATTGTGTCTGAAAAAGTGGAGTTTGGGGGTCGGCCCAGTCTCTATTTCAATTAATCCCATATGTTCTGTTGTTACATTTACGCATTTCTCGTTTTACGCGGGCCTCCACGGGTTCAATTGACCGCGTAAATCGGGGTATTACTGTATATTATTATGTATATATCTCAAAGGTAAAAAATAATGTCATTCAAGACATCTTCAGGTAATAAGACCCACTCATCCCCCACCTAACAATGGGTAACCTGACATTGCATCAGGTCAGGTGGTTTTTTTTTTTTACGGGGAATAGCCCACCCGGGCACAAATCATCGACCCACATCGAAGCACTGTTGATCAAACACCTGGAACAGCACAAAAATTAACTGATACAATTTTACTGCATAATACATCAACAGAATTTGTGTGGGAAAGAAATGAACTCTGAAAATGTAATGAAAATTGTAGTTTCAACAGTCAACTTCATAAAATTGTGAGCTTTGAACCATCGCCAATTCAAGCAGTTTCTAGAAGAAATTGAAGCTGAGTATGGTGATCTAGTGTTTTTCATTGAAGTCAGGTGGTTAAGTCATGGAAATACACTGCACCGATTCATCAACCTCCTGGATGAAATAGTGATACTTCTTAATGAAAAGGGTAAAGAGGTTCCACAGCTTGAAAAGTGGAGTGGCTTTACGATCCGGCATTTCTTGTTGATATCACCAGTCATTTAAATAACTTGATTGCCAAACTTCAGGGGTGTAACCAACTTGTTTTGCAAGTCGCAAACCATGTGTCAGCTTTTGAACAAAATCTAAACTCTTTCAGCCACAACTCATTAAACTAGAGTTGGGACACTTTCCAACATATCAACCTATGCTTGAAAAGTACAATGTACACTCAAGCGCTATAGTTTCGATGCACCCTCTACCCCTACTCCTGGCTCGAGGGAAGTCGTAGTCAGGGCTGCAAACCGAACGGTCCCTCTTGTATAGTGATGTTAAGTATAGTGATGGTAAATAAGGTGCTGTGAGGTTACTAAAAATACCTGTATCGTGCATATATTCTCTCAAATATTACATCATGAACTGCTATTCGTACAATCCAGCAAAGCTTCGAGCTACCACATTGTACCACTGAACGATGGGTGGGGGAATGTGAGATGGGGGGAGGGGATGTTCAGTATGATGCCAAGGCTACGACTTCCATCGAGTCAGGAGTAGGGGTAGAGGGTGCAATGAAACTATGGTGCATGAGTGTACATCACAAAGCTGAAAACTATGGAACAACAATAGGAAATCTCCAGGAAGTGTTTGATAGGCGATTTGGAGACACCAACAGAGAGCAGAAAGATTTGCATATGTTCAGCAATCCCTTCTCTCTATCACCTGAAGATGTCGAACTAGAGGCCCAGTTAGAACTGCAATAAAATTACTGTATATAAAATTACTGTATATCAACTAAAATGCTTAACTTATGATTAAAGAATTATACCTGAGACACATGTAACCTCCTCTTCTTTTAAGTTGTTGCCTTCAGTAGAGATTTCTCCAGATTCCTCTTGGGTCTCTCCTTCTGTCACGATCTTGGTGTGAAGTTCACTGACGCCTATCACCTCTGTATTAATTTCACAATATTTGGCTCCCTTTTTACCCAGCGCTACTATAGCATTTGCAGCTCTGAAAAGTAAAAATACTATGATATAAAATGGAATAACAGAATAGGCTTTAACATTTTAAAGTTTATACTAATATAAACCCAACAAAGTACAATACTCCTGCCAAATTTTAATACTATTATAAACCATCAAAATTATTTTGTAGAAATTCTACATCTCAGGTGTGAATTTCACGAAAGCGCTAGGGAACTTTGTGTTTTCTTTTTTCCTATGTGGTTATCAGCACACACACACACACACACACACACACACACACACACACACACACACTGTTGTTTTTTGCTTAGTAACTCTCTTTTTTTGGCCCTCATTATGGCTTCCAAACGTAAACTTGATGTAAGTGATAGTAGTGCATCCAAGAAAAGGAAACCAATTAAAATCGAAGTGAAAGTTGATGTTCTTAAACGTTCTGAAAAAGGCAAAACACCCTCAGTGATTGGTAAGGCATTGGGTTTCAGTTAGTCAACGGTCGGAACAATTTTGAAAGACAAACAGAAAATTCTTGAATATGTAAAAGGACCTACACCAATTCACTAAACTGTGGTAACAAAACAAATTGAATTGTTATTTGAAATGAAAAGATTGTTAGTAATATGGGTGGAGGATCAAAATCAATGGCAATTGCCTCTAAGTCTAGTCTTGATTCAGGAAAAAGTGAGAAGATTGCTTGCTGACTTGAAGGCTAAATGTGGTGGTGAAAGTGATGGGGAAGATTTTGTTGCTCGTAAGGGCTGGTTTAACCAGTTCAAGGCAAGGGCAAATGGTGTTTGGAAAAAACACTGCCCACCATGATTTGTCCATGATTTCAGGGGCTTTGAAAATGATGTTGGGGAAGTGGCACATACAGTGGCAGACCTTGGGAGCCAACTCCAGCTTGGTATTCATCAGGATGATGTCACACAGTTGCTTGAGTTTCATGCTAAAGAATTAAGTAATGAGGACCTGATTAAACTGGAGAGGAAGCTGAAACTCCAGAACCAAAGTGATTCATTACAAGAGAAATGGCAGATGGTTTTAGGTCTATTGAAGAAGGATTGTTTAAATTTGAGCAGCAAAATTCACCAAGATTCATAGAGGTACTCCTGAATATGTACGATGCTACAAAGATATTTATGGCAAAAAGAAGAAAGTTTCAGTTCAACCATCCCAATAAGGCCTCTGTCACTCTTACAAATGCCCATCTCTATATGCAAGCCAACCCCAGGTTTCAATGTAAGATTTAAACTTTAATTTTTAGTTTTCTTAACTGCATTTTGTTATTAAATTTCTTAGTTACTCTTAAATTAAGTGATTCGACATATATAAAAGGACTTAGGCTATGATATAGCATACATAGGGTATGTGTTACAACTTATTTCCAACTTAAGAACATCCTCAGGTATGGAACTCGTCCATAAACCTGGGACCCTATATATATATATATATATATATATATATATATATATATATATATATATATATATATATATATATATATATATATATATATATATATATATATATGTTATATATATATATATATATATATATATATACACATGTTACTGGCTACGTTGCCATTACATACATGTTATGTGGCTACATACATATACAAGCATACATACATTAAGACATGGCTGCCATTACATACATTATACATTACAATACATACATACATACATACATTACATACATCACATACATTCAATACATACATACATTACATACTTACATTACATACATATATTACATACAAACATTATATTACATTACATACATACATACATTCAGTACAAACATACATTGCATACATATATTACATACATACAATACATACATACATTACATACAAACATTACATACATACATTACAAATATACATTGCATACATATATTACATACATACATACATTACATACATAACATACATACATTACATACATACCTGTACATTACATACAAACATTACATACATACATAACAAACGTATATACATACATTACATACGTATATACATACATTACATACATAACATACATACATACATTACATACATATATAACATGCATGCATACATACATTATTGCCATTACATACATACATATATTATATATATATATATGGTTAGTTATATATATATATACAGTCATGCTACTGTTAACGTCCGAATCGAACAATGTCCGACGTGATATACGCCCATGCCCCCCTCAAAAAATCTGTGACACCTGCTGGACCACCATTCCACAACCCCCTGACAGAGACACGATGATCTTTCCCATACTGGTCAGATATTATGTGTTAAAGCAATATGCTTCCTTGCTTAGGCTTTTTTTTAAGCATTTGCCTCCAGGTGTAATGCTAACCTACATCTATTGAGGATAAAATCTTTCACCTACAAATTGACAATAACACATTTGCTGTAATCAGACATATCTAGTTGCCTCAACAATTGCAACCCCAGTTGCAATTGGGGTTGCAATTTCAAATTCTGTGGCATTACTAAGAATAACTAAGTCTCTGGTGCACTCTAAGATTAAGAGAGAAAACAGAGGACTCAGGCGTCCTGATGTGAGAGAAAACGGACTCATATGATGGGGGACCAAATAAAAAAAGCATAGCTACATGTTTTGTGGACTACAGTATTAAGCGTACCCTTTTCATCACTTTGTAATAAACCTAGCCATGCCTATGTGTGTTTATGATATTTACCATAACATTATATATATATATATATTTAGTGGGTCCAAATGGTCGTAAAATAGGAAACTTGGGGTTCGGTCTTGGGTGCCTGAACCAATTAGAATAAATCCCATAGGTTCTGTACTTTCGTTATCGGCGGGGTCCCAATTAGGAGCGATAACCAAGGGATGATTGTACTGTATTGTACATACTTCTGACACTGGCCAGTTGCTTCTGGTATTATTGTACAGGGGTACCAAGTGACAGCACTAGGATCCCGCTTCCTCTATCAAGGAATAAACAATTGAAATTGAATTGCAAATATAGCTTGTTTATACAGGTATTGAACTAAATTACTATCTTACATGTAAGTTATATTCACGCAGGCCTTCAGCGCCAACTGTCAAATCTTATCTCAAATAAATAAAGACACTCTGTCACCTCACCTCCCCTCCCCTTTTCTCACACTCGGCTGGCTACCCCCCTCGTGTTCCCAGGCAAAAGATTGGTGATTTCTTTATGTTTATTTTATATAATATCTCAGATTAAAGCTAGGATAATATAATTTGCATTGCTGAAATCCTTGCAAGACAGAGATTAATTTAAATATAAGCGTCATATATTTTGCTCAAGATATAAAAAATGTCGTGCATTAATGTACAATACTGTAGTACATTTTATAAAAAAAATTTCAACTGTATTTTTGGGTAGATTTACATAAATTTCTTCATTTATTTTCATCCATTTACATGCACACACCATACTAAAAGAAACGTAAAAAAAATAAATGACCTTAGTGCAAAGCTGGAGTGCACATGTACTAATTTGATTATGGTACTAAAATTGTTATGTCTATTGCGAATTACAACATGTTTATATTCAAATAAATCAGTATCTTACAAGCATCCCAGCAATGTTAATTATATTCTCCTAAGTCATATCACTGGCATTTTAAAATAAGAGAAGCTTAGTAGGACTGTTAAATAAACACACAGAGACCTTCGGCTCAAACTTATCACCTCAACCCCCCTCACCCCCCTCCCACCCCTCACTGGCTCCGTCCCTCCCACCCTCTCTCCCTCCCTCCCTCCCTAATCTGCTCAGCCGGGGGTTTATTTAGGCTTACAGTTTTTATCTTATATAATATCTCAGACTAAAGTTAGGAGATTATAATTTGCATTGCTGGAATCCTTGCAAGATAGCCATTAATTTAAATATAAAAGTCATATATTTTGCTTAGGAGATAAAAATTGTTGTACATTAGTGTACAGTACTGTAGTACATTTATAATATAAATTTTTTCAACTGCATTTTTGGGTAGATTTACATCAATTTCTTCATTTATTTTCATCCATTTGCATGCACACACCATACTAAAAGAAACGTAATAGAAATAAATGACCTTAGTTCAAAGCTGGAGTGCACATGTACTAATTTGATTACGGTATTAAAATTGTTATGTTTAGTGCAAATTATAGCATGTTCATATTCAAATTAATCAGTATCTTACAAGAATCCCAACAAAGTTAATTATATTCACCCAGGTCATGTCACTGGCTTTTTATAAGAGAGAAGCTGAGTCACTTAAGAACTGATAAATATACAGGTACACGCGTTAGACCTTGGCCGGTGCCAACTGTCAAGCGTACTACCTCCCCTCCCCCCAAACCCCTCGCTCGCTCCCTCCCTCCTTCCCTCCCTCCCTCTCCCCCAACTGCCCAGCGTTGCTGGAATCCTTGTAAAACAGTGAATAATTTTAATATAAACGTCATGTATTTTGCACAAGAGATAAAAATTAATCACCTGTATCACATTACAGTAGAGATTTAAGAGTAAAAGTGTATATGTACGTATATAGTATTCCACATACACGTACGTATAAATACAAAGTTTATGTGATGACCGGACAACGTCCATTTCGGTTAACGTCACGTTTCCAAGAACGTATCTAGGACGTTAACCACATGACTGTATGTATGTATATGTATATGTATATGTATATATATATATATATATATATATATATATATATATATATATATATATATATATATATATATATATATATATATATATATATATATATATATATATATATATATATATATGTTGATAACAAAGGAAAAAGAAAATGAAAGGCTATAATTATCTTCAGGTGAGTACAGACTGTAATTTCACCCTGAAGATGTGAATTACACAAAGGCTTGGAACTTTGTGTTTCTTCTTTCCTTGTTTATCAGCATATACCTAGATCAACGCATAACTATGATTTACTTGCATATATATATATATATATATATATATATATATATATATATATATATATATATATATATATATATATATATATATATATATATATATATATATATATATATACTATTTATTTGCTTCTCTATTTATTTTCCCATAAAACTACTGTATTACTAACCTGTATGATTTATTAACCTCTTTCTGCATGTCTACATCATATTTATGATATTTCTCATACATGCTGATAATAAGGTCTCGCTCTTCCTCAGAATATTCTTCTAATGATGGATGGAAGCGCTTATGGTTTGACATATGTATTTTTTCTAGGACCATCATAAGACTTGAAGGTGGTGAAACATAACATACAAATACTCATGTTAAAGCGAGTGTCATAATCTACTAACAGTTGTCTTCGCCACTCCTCCTGTGGATTAAATACAAAATGGCTGTGATTTGGGGATTTAAAATTTTTAGGTAATTTTTTCATCAAACAGTTTTTGTTAAGAGATTGAAGTTAAAGTAATTCATTTTTGTGATACTCTGTACTTATATGCAAAGTTGTAAAAACTACCAAACTTTGTTACTTAAGTAAAAGTATTGTTACACTGGCAAAATTTTATTCAAGTATAAGCAAAAGTATCCAAAGTTCAATGTACTTAAGCAGAAGTAAAAAAATATCTCATTCATAAAGTAATCAAGTACATACTGAAAGTAAAAAGTAACAACAAAATTATTAATTGTCTCATATATTAAAATAAATCCACAGTAAATTAAAAAAAAATAGTTAACTATACATAAAAAAAGACACATAACATTACACATGTTTATTTGCAAATCTTTCTTTTGACATTAATCAATAACTGATTCTCAAAATTATGCCTGTCCAATCAGGGTCTTTTAGGCCTAAATATAAGCCCAACATGACCTCCCTACAATCCATTGCAAGAATAGTGAATGGGCTGAAAATATATCCAGCCAATGCTATTATCACATTCTTCCTTATCCACATATGTATCATCGACATGGACTTATGGTCCACAGACATATTGTTAATTCGGCTCGCATTAGGTTAGGATAGAGGTCTATCTGGCAAGTATTTGAAGAGGGGATGACCCGCACTTTTCTTCCTGTAAACTATGTAACTGTCCCAACACTGACACCCTTCAACACTATTGCTTTGACTGTCCCACTGTCAGGGACCTCCTATCACAGGACGAGTCACTAACACTACAGTATACGTCACCACCTACTTATTTGTAATAATTTATATTTAATTCTTGTACACTACCCACAATTTGGTGGGAGCTAACTCCCATTGTCCTTAAATCATATCAATATTGTCTCCATATACAGGTTGTACTTCTCTAGTCCGGCATTCTGTGTTCCGGAAACTCCCGTGGTTCGGAATGATTTTAGTTTGTCCAATAGGTGGATAGGCAGTTTTTTTTTTTTTTTTTACTTATCTGAATTATTATTATTATTACAGGAGTATTAAATTTTTGCCCCAGGACCCACTGTGGGTCAGTGAACTATGCCCGGTGGGCTAATCCCGTAAAAAACAAAAACAGCCGCTGAAATAAAGGTTTGTTTACATCCGCAGTTCGGGCCTCTTCTCTGCTTGTCTTACAGAGTACAACATTTAACCTTCAATATATATGAGAAGTAAATAAGTGTTGCTTTCATATTCTTATGTAGAGTAATGACTTATATAGCCACATGACTTACATGTCTCACTTTTTTTACCATTAATGGTTAGCTACTTATATTGTTCCATTAATTAACATTAAATAACATTGGTATTCCAAACAACTATATAATTTTTACAATAATTTTACTACAGCTAAAATCAGGGTCTTATTTTCTTCAGTTTTATATGTAGAACCAATCAGTCACTGGTTTTGTAAGCTTTAACATAAACAATGCCGCAACCGCCTCTTCTCCTCTAATATTCCACGATATTAATAAATTGTATTGTTAATTTTGCACACATAAACATTAATTCAATAAAAACAAATTCAGAAACAAATTAAAATATATATGAACAGTAAATAAGTGTTTTTATATTCTTATGTAAAGTAATGACTATATGTTTTCACGCAGCGCAATTACATACGCCGATCTTTTTTTTCTTTACCATTATCATAGCTACTTCTATTGTTCCATTTATTAACATTAAATAACATTACTTAAAACAACCATATTAATTTTACTACAGCTACAACCAGTCTTATTTTCTTCAGTTTTATATGCAGAACCAGTCAGTCACTGGTTTTGTAATCATGAAAACAATGCTGTGTCACTTCCTTGTGTGTTTTAATATTCTACATATTATTAATGAATTGTATTGCTCATTTTGCACACATAAACATTAATTCAATAAAAAGACATTCAGAATAAACAATAATGAATCTTTGTACAAAAGAGAAATGACGCTTGTTCACACGATTATGCACTGTCTGCACGCTGGCGGGCCGCTCAAACCCAGCCGAATTGCCAAAATTCTTATTTAATAATTTTTGTGTTCCAATAAAAACGTTAAGAATTAAAGACCATGTAAATTTGAGAAGCTACTATACGATATTTAACCCTTCAATATGTCTTCAAAGAGACCATGATGCAGAGAAAGTGGTGCTAGTGATTCCAAGCATAAGCACAAGTCACTATCTATCCAGGAAAAGGGTGAATTTCCATGGTCCGGCACCGGTCAGTCCCAGGTTGCCGGACTAGAGAGGTACGACCTGTATCACAAGTCATAGTGTGTCCTGCAAGACACGAGTACAGTACTCTGACCGCATGGTCTTCTGACTAGTCTTCTTGTCCCCTGGAGGTGTAAATTAATTAAATAATAAGCCCAACATGACTAAACAATTGTTCACAAGCAGCAGATGCAGGTTGTGGGGTGTTAAGCTTCAGAATTAAGTCACATAATATTGGGAACGACCTCAATAGCTCCATTCCATTCCCTGGGCATGACAAATTGCTTTCAAGTATCACCACTAAATTCTTTGTATTTTTTGCCCTTTCAAATGAGACCTTATTTTTTAAAATCGACCCATAAATAGTGGAGAATTTTCTAAAAATTATACAAAAAAAACCTACCGGTATTTTGAGTAAGTTAGCTGGGGTCAAGGGCTGCGGCAAGCAATGAATAGTATGTTTGACCACTTCGACAGTTGAGTGTACTGATCTCCTTAATTGAATGTTAGTGCAGCACCTCCTTCCTCCCTGCACATCTCAGTAGCATGCCAAATAGTATCAGAGAAAACAGAAGTAAATTATCTTTCTAGTTTATTTTCTATGATATTTTACTAGAAGTTGTTGATATATGTCAGAATGACCTCGAGCGAACATGAGAGGGGGGCATTTAACTGTCCATTTACTTGCCAAATATCCGTAAATAACTTTGATAATGTGAGAGTGGCTATTGGAAGGGCACACAAAGCTACGAGATTTTTTTAATTTTAAATTATTTTAAATACAGTGGTTCCCGTTAATGAACGGTTCCATTAACAAAATTTTGGTTTCCAAATTAGCTACCATAAGGAACAAAACTTCGATTAACGAAATCCCACGACAAACGCGTTTTGCTTGCGCATCAGTTGATCAGCTAGTCCGCCAATACAGTAATTGGTTCGCGAGAAACGAGAAATGCGTAAATGGAATAACAGAACATATGGGATTGATTGAAATAGAGACTGGGCCGACTCCCAAACTCCACTTTTTCCGACACAATACACACACAATACCTACAGTATGTTGTAGTAAAAATAACAACTTAATTTTATGATGGTATGCACACACAATTAATATTTAAGAGAAATACAGTCGCCAGGTTAGTGTCCATTCAAATAATGGACTCAACTCCCACCTCCCCTTCCCATGCTGGCTCCTCCCTCTCTGAGAAATGTTTGGGTGAAAACACTAGATTTTAAGGTATAGTAATACCGATTAAAGTTAGGATAACATAATTGACATTGCTGGATTCCTTGCAAGACCAGGAATATTTTGAATATACACGTCATATATTTTGCACAAAAGATAACATATTTGCTCTGTGTAAACAAAATTCATATACTAGATCTAAAATTTGTATGTCTAATGCAAAATCCATGATGTTTATATTTAAAATGATCATATTGTAAGAATTCCAGCAATGTAAATTATATTCTGGTCGGGTAATTTTTATGAATTTTATGAGCTAAAACAAATATCTTCAGCAAATAAAAAATTATACTTCACCCAGACACTATCTGTCAATCAAAATACCCTACCTCCAGCTCCACCCCTCTTCCAGCTGGTTCCTTCCCTCCCTCCCTACCCCCCCCCCCTTCCCTACCAGAGAAATGTTTGTTAAAGACAGTATACGGTATTTATATTTTTAGTAATAAATAATACCTCAGACTAAAGTAAGGATAATATAATTGACATTGCTGGATTCCTTGCAAGACCAGGAATATTTTGAATACAGTAATACCCCGCTTTACGCAGTTTTACTTTATGTGATTCTACATTTGCCCGGTACCTCGCCAGAACTGGACTTTCACTTTATGTATGCATCTACCCATATACGCGTAGAGTGTCTGGCGCGACACTATTACTATTTTTAGATTCGACCCTCCTGCCTTCTCCCCGCCAAGGCCGCCGCCGTAAGGTTGCGAGTGGATGTTTCTGTTGCGTTATCAGTGACGCCATATGACGACGGTGGCGTATCGGACTGTGATTGGGCCGCGCATCCCCTTACCTCCGCCCGGCTGCTGGCGTGATTGGTTAAGTAATATGGCGTGTATACCCAGCGGGAGGAGGGAGGAAGAGCGGCCGCTTGACCTGGCCCGTCAGTTGTATCCCTCTAGGCCACACCGTGTAAACCAGTATCCATTATTCTGTAAAGTGGCTTCCCCTTGGGATCCCCGCCCCAGAGAGAAACCTTGCATTACCTGGTTTGTACACAAGCCAAAGAAGATGCATTCCCTAAGCTAAAAAGTGAAATACAAGATGTTCAGAATTTGGAAGGAAAAGGGCAATTAAGCTGATCGGCGCAGCATAGAGTAATGACTCTAAATTCGTACTATTAAGAAGGATTGGCTTCAAGATCAAAGAACACATAGAGAATCCTGAGTCTGCAGATTGGCACCGTGATCAAGTCTTGCAGGCAAGTTAACTGCTAAGGTTGAAAATTGCTGGTGAATTACTTGATTAGATCGAAGTAGCGGCCTTAACATGGTACGTTGGACGCGTCTGTTCAGTACGCCCGTGAACTGTAGCAGTGTCACGTGGGTAAAATTGCGGAGCCCAAACCCTTATTTCTTCCTCTGGTTGGCTGCATAGATTTAAGAAGAGGAACAAGATCACCAACATCAGCATTGGTGGTGAGAAGAAGCGAGTGCTGACGTGTGGTGGCTAGGAATTTTCCTCCTTTCTTACGTG